TAAGTTATCACACTAGCTATAGGATTAGTTTCATTGCCACTGTTAGCAGTAGATAGGCAAAGTTAGCATCTCAAGAGTGAAGCTACTCTATACAGAGCAAAGTCTACAGACCATATTTCTTTAGAAATTACTATCTCAATCGCTAGAATTAGTTTCATTACCACTGTCAGGTATAGATAGGCAAAGTTAGCATCTGTAGTGAAGCAACTCTATACAATGCTGAATGTATGGACTGTACAGTGTATTTCCTTAGAAAATTGCTGATCTCTATCACTAGGATTAGTTTCATTACCACTGTGTAGAGTAGATAGGAAAATTTGGCTCACAGGGTAAAAATAAAACAACTCGTTCTAGTGATGATATCTATAGTCATGCTCCCTAGTGAAATCTTGACCTTCCAAAATACTATTTCCTACATTTTGAGGGACAAATTTTGCTGGTAGACTAAGCTTTTCAGCTTACTTTGATAACATTTGTCTCTTTCCATATCTTTACACCAAGATTTTTGTCTGTCATGGCAGCAAAATTCAGTCAAATGATGGAAATATGGAAATCTGAATTGCCTGTGAATATCAGTGGGAAGTTTGTATGCAGAAGAGAACATCAGCCCAGCAGACTGAAAATTCGTCCTCCAGCTAGGCTCACTAGTGTGTAATATTTCCTGGCCAGATAAGATCAGGGAGATCTGTCTATTTCATACAACACATGACATCTCTGTGACTGTGCAAGCAGGTCTAAGTAAGACCTAGGGAAAAATGTTGTGTTTCCTGTTTCCCGGCCAACCCTAGAAAAAGCTGCCGACCGTAGCCTTGACTTTTTCTACGTGGATCCCTGCAAGAGACATGTTAAATTTTACCTTCAACGAAGGAAAACAAATTCTTTTTTTTTTTTGCTCTGTCTGTTCTTCTCCGAACACATAAGGTCAATGACTTGGACTAGATGTCTGTCACCATGGTAACTTTGCTGTAGCAGACACCCTGTGGTGTTGGGTTACATTATGTAGCAAGACGTGATTATCAGCCCAGCAGACTGGAAAGATAATAATAATTATGTAATATTTCCTGGCCAGATAAGATCAGGGAGATCTGTCTATTTCATACAACTCACAACATCTCTGTGTGCAAGCTATGGCAACGCTACATACAATGTACCTAAACGTAAAGGTTTGAACCTGTACCTGTACCCGAAAAATTTGACAAATTGTTCTGATCATGAACTTCCTCAATAACATTAAAAACTGTAATAAACTTTATTTAGATAAAACAGGACAGGACTAGTGGCCTTATGCCATATTCAAACTAAACAGAACCATGTGGACTGTTCTTTTTCTTTTTTATAAAATTCTTTTTTCAAGCTGTTCTTTAAACATCTGTTGCATATTAGTTATGCTCCTTCTAAGTTCTAGATGTCACATTGGTCTAAGTTTGCATCCCCTCATCCCGAACAATTCGTGTATTGAAGATGAATCGCATTTTATGCTTGACTGTAAATTATATGATAACGAACGTAAATCACTGTTCAGTTCAATTAAGCTCGACAAAAAATGTAAAACATTATCAAAGGAAGACACTTTTAAATATATTATATCATGTACAAATATAGACGTCATCAATGAAGTATGTAAGTATATTTCAAAATGTTTCAAAAAGAGAGAAGAAGCCATTAGAACTTAGATCAATACCACTTATATTTATATTTCTTTTTATCTTATTTTTAGCATTATATACCTTAGACCTAATGTTAGCCTTTTATATTACTATTGTTTTAGTACTCTCTAGTACATTGTACATCCATGCATTTATCCCTCCGGGGAATGAACATGCAATAAAGTTTCATCAAGTTTTTTTTATATATAGGTGCGGGTTTTGGCACGTAGCCACAGTAGTAGTCTTCTGTCTACATGTCAGAAACTGATAGTAAATTTAACCTTGAACAATGCTTTTTTTCGTTTTCTGATTTTTCTTGCGTCACAAAT